CATATTACAAAAATGATGTACAGTGAAATGTCTAAAACTGTGAAACATGATTCTGCAATGACTCTATAAGCAGACTTTTTTTGAATAAGAAACATTTGTATTTTTTTCAGGGTGCTGGTACCACTGAATCTACCTTAACTAGAATCATAGTGAGCCGTTCAGAGGTTGATCTGCAGGACATCAAGGCAGAATATAAGAAGCTCTTTGGCACTTCTTTATACTCTGACATTGAGGTAAGAAGTATTAAATGAGAACTTGTCTACTGAAAAAATGTGGTGTAGAAACATTTGCCAGGAAATTGCTTGTGCTGGTAAACTTCACAAAGAATTGTCAAGTAACACATTGAATTAAATGTGAAATTTTGAAGTAGAAAGACTCAACTAGTATTATCTTGTAAAACATACTCCATTAAACTTGAAAATCTAGATTCTAAGGCTTTGTTCAAAATCCTTTTCTGCTTCTATTAATGTGATTGTAACAAGACCCTGTTGCATTTTCTGATGTACACCTTCAGTAATAGCTGAACGGCTCTGGTTAAAGTGTGAGGTAGGGAGTAACCTTGACCAGTGTCTGATAGTGATCTGCAGATGAAATGATTGACATTTTCAGTGGGCAGGACTGGTGATTAGCCCCACCCTGTAGGAAGGGCCTTGTGTGTGTGTGCTCTTTTGGCTATAACTGCCTCCAAGTCATGTGTTTATCATCATATTTTCAAACTGAGTTCACATGAACACCACTGTAATGTTGTGATTACCAGAGGGAGGCTGGATTTTCTTTATCTGAGTTGGGGCGTGTCAGTGAAAAAATAATGATGGAGGATAACTAATTCAGTTTTAATTGTGTTGACTGTTTAGTTTACATGAATTGTGTGCTCTGTTAATAAAGAATAGTGATACAGCTGGTCAGAATTCACTGCTCACTTGGCGGGTTTAAGAGGTTAATGATGGGAAACATTTCCCATCATTCTCTGTGGCTGCACAAGAATTGTAAAATGCATAGAAAAGCATGAGTTGCACACTAATGCACATCCTTTACTTTTCAGTTTGCTTACAAAAAAAGCCAAAAAGCATCCCATCTTTGTCAAAAAGTGAAAAAGGAAGAATTAGCCTAAATTTGAAAGCTAGTCCATTGTTTTCTGAACAAAGTCACTCGTAAAGATGATGACTTCTGAACACGTATAGTAGGATCTTCCCAGAGGACTTGCATGTGGTTGATGCATCTTGAAGAGGTTCATAAATTTAATTTAGTTAATTCAGTTGACTGCATGACAACATCCAAAGTCGTGCCGATTTGTCTTGAGGTTCAGCATAAAACCAAATGGGAAAACACATGAGAGTTTAACATTGTACTGCAGCATTCTTTGGACCGTGTGTGCCTCTACATACTCTCTAGACCATCAAACACGCTTTGCACTGTGACCTGACAAGCCCATTGTAATAACAAATCTGCTGCTTTAAAGCAGTCATGTTTCTTTGTTTGTTCCCTTTCCATACATTACTGTTCCTAGTTTACTATGAAGTTGCTATTGCCCTCAAGTCTCTTCATTTTTGCCACACTAAAACAAGTCCTTTTAACAAAGATAATCAATATATTTCTAAATAATAAATAAATAAAGGTTCTCAATATTTAGCAAGTGCAGTATGAGGTTTAATGTCAGTAGTCACATTAATGATGTCCTTTTTATATCTTTATTGTAGTCTGAAACGTCAGGGGATTTTTGTCAAACCCTGCTGAAGATCTGTGGTGAAGATGGAAAATGAATGTATCCACTGCCAAAGAATTCATCACCGCTGAAGTGCTATAATGTGAATGTCCAAATATAATTTTTATTACAATTACAATACTATTAATAAATCAGAAGAGCTTTATGAAATGTATTTTTGAACTAGCTTGATTTTTTTTTAATCATAGATAACTTGTATACTTGGTTTTAGAATAACCCTAGTATAACACAAAATATTTTTAGAATCAGAAACTACACTTTAATTTGTCAAATTTTTATTACACATTATGTCTACATAGTGAATGAATAGCTGACATTTTTTCCATGCCATTTTGCGTTTTGAGATGGTCTTCAATGTGTAGTTTTGTTCCTGATGCAGCAGGTGGCAGTACATGTATTTGGTAGCAAATTGGTCAACAATTAAAATCTCTTGGGATTTCAGTGGGACAAGCATTTACGTGACTGCTCATTTTGCCTTGTCACTCCCTTATAAGTATAAAACCAGAAGTAGGATGACTTTTGGTCATAATTCTGCTGCAGAAATTAGACTTTCATCCTCATTTGGAAATTATGAATACGGTATCTAATCCCCCAAAACAATGCAGATTGTCATGAGAAAGTGATGTTTGCAGATGCTGCTAAAACCCACAAAAGATTCTTAGCCGCTTTCACCAACAAGCACCACTGATAAGACTTGGAAACGTGTTTTAATTTGCTATGGAGCACCTGTAAGGTCACAACGACAGATTGTGAAGTGATTTGAGGCCCTGAAGTATGATTTTGTATGAGGGAAAATCATTCTCATGTGATATAGCTTGAGAATGTGCTAATATTACACTTGGTAATAAAGCAAGATGAAATATTATGAGCAGCAAATAACTGTTTATGCAATGAAAACTGATTTTACATACTGTAATTTGGATTTTTATTGAAATTCATGTCCTAATTAAACATGAGCATGTGTAAAAACAGTCTGCAGTCTACAGATCATCTTAATTACTGTTCATAATATACAGCTGTTATTACTTAAAGGGATAGTTCACCCAAAAATGAAAATTCTGTCATCATTTACTCGCCCTCATTTCGTTCCAACCCTGTATGAGTTGCTTTCTTATGTTGAACACAAAAGAAGATATTTTGAAGATTGCTGGTAATCAAACAGTTGGTGGTTGCCATTGACTTCCATAGTAGGAAAAAAATACTATGGAAGTCAATGGCAACCACCAACTGTTTGATTACCAGCAATCTTCAAAATATCTTCTTTTGTGTTCAACATTAGAAAGCAACTCATACAGGGTTGGAACAACCTGAGGGCGAGTAAATGATGACAGAATTTTCATTTTTGGGTGAACTATCCCTTTAAGTAAAAGAAAACCTGACTTCTAAACCACATTGTCTCTTTTCAGTTAGTCTTCAGACAGGAAAAGAACAATGCCCTGGAAAATCCCTAATGCCACTAGAGTAGAACAAAACAGTAGGATTAAAACAGATTTCAGAATACGATTAAGACAATTCAGCTCTTTTATTATGTCATAAATCCATAACGTGAGACATTTGGCATCATTAAGGGATTAAAGGCATGGAACAAGGTCAACTTTAAAATGGCATACAGAAAAACACTCATTGTCCTGAAAGATTACGATATTTAAGCAATAACTTGTAAAATAGAGTATACCGAATACAGTTCTTCTGAGATTCAATTGTACAGGGAAGTCGGATTCGTTCTGTTGGTTTCGAGTCTATTGAACCGATTCTTTCACGAGTTCGACTGAATCGTTCAACAACTCAACATTTGGAGTGAATTGAAGTTTTGACTTAGGCTACGAAACGTTTTAATACTTTTTTTTTTTTTTACTAGAAATGTTACAAATTAATTGTACTGGAAATATGCTTATGTCTTGAGTGTTTTAAATATTACTTTATAAAAACGTGCACGGAGTGTGAGGAATAATGATTCACACTCCATGACGGAATAATGATTTCCTGCCAGTTCCACGGCACGATTTTCTACATTAAATATTTTGTTCACTAAATAAGGTAACTGACATTTCAGAGGTAACAACAAAATAGCTTCAAACAAAGCAGAAAACCTGGAAATAACAGCTGGAAGGGACCCTGACGAATTTACTTTTGACGACTAAAATACACACAACGGGTTCAAACATTAATTTTTTTATTCAGTTTCACCATTCAGATATTAATTCAGGCAGTTTATATTATTCCAAATAATCAAATAGAGAAAATCAAACCACCAACAGAAGTTATAAAAAGATGAGCTAGAGAAACATTAACACAAAAGGTTTTTTCGATATATGTTCATAATCAATTCAGTGCAAATATAGTGATTTTGACCCATTGTTCACATAAAATACTGAAGTAATGCTTTCTTGGTCATTTAAATGCCCAGTTCCCAGTGCTGCTTTACACATGAACTCAAATGTGTTTAATACATCAAAACAACTCCCTTTACCAAACAAATATCTTTTAAAAATCGCAAAATTACAGTATTACCCTCTATCATAGAATTCATCAGTCACAGAACAGTGATAGTTAAGAGCATTTCAATTAAGGACATTCCAGAGAAGTGAGGCAACATATTAACAGCATACAGTTTCACAACTCCAATGATACAACGGGGAAAAGGCTCAATAAAAAACAAAATACATAAAGTAACAGACAAAGACACTCGATATCCAGCAGAGAATATGTATGAAACATTTGTTCAGGCAGACAAACTCAACTGATTGCATGAAACGTGATTTTCATTGCACGTAACCCTACAGTAGGGTGTTCAAAGGCAAATGAGAGGTAAAAGTTTCATTGTTTGATTCTATTAGCACAACTTAAAATAATGCCTAACCATCAAGACGTTTTTAACTTCAAATCATTGCTTCTGGCTAAAATACAAGTCCTCTATCCATAATACTGCATCTGAATCAGGAGAGAAATATGCAGTTAAAACACCTTGATGGATTTGTTTCTTACATATACGCAGCTTTTGGCTTCACAAGATGTTAATTGATTAACTGGAGCGGTGTGGATTACTTGTGGATTATTGTGATGTTTTTATCAGCTATTTGGACTCTCATTCTGACGGCACCCATTCACTGCAGAGGATTTCCATTGGTAAGCAAGTGATATAATGCTAAATTTCTCTCAATCTGTTTTGATGAAGAAACAAATGTATATCTGTCACGCTTGTACATCTGATGAAGAAACAAACTCATCTACATCTTGGATGTCCTGACATTTTCAGCAAATTTTTATTTTGGGGTGAACTATTCCTTTAATAAAATACAGCAATTTAGAATAGACAATTCACCTGGAAAGTATCGTTCTGGGATTTTACTGACGTAGAAAAGGAATGCTGAGGCGGCAATCAAATACATGATCATGACTCGAGGAAAAAACACCTGCAAAGAGATAAAGTGTTCGGTATTAATAATAGCACAACCTTCACTGGTAGAAGTGATATATTGCTATTTCCCTCCTCACAGTGTCTCCAATAATACATGATGCAACAAGCAGATATATCACCTTTACGATTTCAGAGTCAAATCCTCCATTGATCCAGACCCAGTGGCAGGCTGGGATGATGCCGTATCCGGCCACAGAGCAGAACATGACAGAGCGCAGTTTCTTCCACTGCTGTGTGAGGTAGAGCGGATGAATCTGAGCCACAAACACAGCCAAGATGAGCGCCAGCACCGTCAGCAGGTACACCTGCCTCCAAAACTGAAACAAATGTCATGTGTTACTACATCCGCAAAGGATATCAAAAAATTGATTGATACTCAAATCTATATTCATACTTAAATCAGATAACCATATCTACATAAACCAAGCTTTTAAAGCCATGTACAAGCAAAACATGATCTTACTACAGACTCTTTCTTTAATTATTTCTTTAAGAACTTAATATATTTATGAATAAGTACAAATAAATATGTATAATATATACACTACCGTTTGAAAGTTTGGAATAATTTTTTTTTAATGTTTTTGAAAGAAGACTCTTAAGTTCACCAAGGCTGCATTTATCTGATTAAAAATGCAGTAAAAGCAGTAATATTCTGAAATGTTACAACTTAAAATAACTGTTTTCTGTGTGAATATATTTTAAAATGTAATTTATTTCTGTGATCAAAGCTGAATGTTCAGCATCATTACTCCAGTCTTCAGTGTCACATGATCCTCCAGAAATCATTCTAATATGCTGATTTACTGCTCAATTATTATTGGAACTTAATTGTTCTTATTATTATCAGAACTATAACGTTTTTTTTTACAGAAAAGCAGTATCTGCTGCTCATACGGTTATGGAAGCCATAACATATTTCCTTCAGTATTCTTTGATGAAAATAAAATTCAAAATAACTTGAAATACAACAATAATCTTTTGTAACAATATGTTTTACTGTCACTTTTGATCACTTTAATGCATCCTTTCAGAATAAAAGTTTACTTTTTTTTTTTAAACAAAATCGTACCGCTAACTTTTGAATTGTAGTGTATCAGTTTTCACAAAAATATTAAGCAGAAATAAGAAATGTTTCTTGAGCACTAAATCAGTATATTAGAATGATTTCTGGAGGATCATGTGACACTGAAGACTGGAGTAATGATGCTGAAATGATGCTTAATGATGCTTTGATCACAGGAATAATGTTCATTTTCAAATATATTCACATAGAAAACAGCTACTTTAAAGTGTAATTATATTTCACAATATTACTGTTCTAACAGTTTTTTTATCAAATAAATGCAGCCGTTGTGTCTTTCAAGAACACACAAAAACCTTTTAATAAATAAAATGTAATTTTAATTTAATACATACAATAAAACATTTAAATAAAAAATACAAATACATTAAAATAAAGCTGTAAAAAGAAACCATCAATCCTCATACTTCAAGTCCGCTCTTATAAAACACATCTGTCATACACTGTTGCAGTAGAAGGCATAGAAGACTCCAGGCACATAACATCCCAAAATCCCCACAGATATTCCAGCATAGTCCAGAGCAAGCCAGCGGCGACACGTCTTCTCCGAGCGATGACAGCAGAACAAGTGATAGCCCACAGAGCACAGCATGCAAACCTGACCATAGAATACAAAAAGAAAAACCCATTAATTCATATGTAACACTTATTTGTATAGGTAAAATTTCCCACCGCTCATTTTATGTATTACCTGAAAACAAAACAGTCCTATTGAATAAATGACATAGTCCTCTTGTGACGCCCCCGCAGACGGCAGGACTGTGGCCATGTCATTCACTCCCAGCGAGAAGAACAGCAGGAACCCAAGCAGATGACTCCAGATGTTCACCGTCTCATTGGACAGAATGAATATGCTGTGGGATATGAGAAATAATGAGTAAACGAACGGCGACACATCTACACTATCAAAAGGGAAAGAAACACACCTTTTGAGGCACAGTTTGGATGGCAGGTGTGCTCTGTATCCATCTGTGATGTACGGATTCTCCTTCAGAAACACTGGGATCTGTTCATAGGTGTATAATCGAATCCCTCTCGGCACAAGCACAGGCCAGTACTGATAACTGCCCAGCTCAATGTAATGAGTGCTCTTGAGGATGTTCTGAGGCATCTTGGTTCATGTGGCTGGAGGAGCAAAGCAGATGCATGTCTCATTCGTTTCAATAAAACACTATGGCGGTCTCAAAAGAGCGAGCTCCCTATGCACACAGTGCTTGAAGTGGGCCGGTACACTTCTATATTTTAGCCTTTAAAAGTAACCTGCACTTTTTTGTGTGTACCGGCACTTCTGACATGTTGCCGTTGTAGTGCCGAAATTTGCACCCTGCCAGATTATGCACCCCCTAGTATTGGTAGGTTTAGGGTTAGGTGTGGGGCTGGGATTAGGAAATCAGGTAGCGACTTCAACGAGGGGGTGCATAATCTGGCAGGGGTGCAGAATTCGGCACAACACCGGTACTCGCGAGTAAAAGCGTCAGGGTCTGGGTGATTATATGATCCCACACTATGATTAGAAAGGACACTATATAAATCACACTACCCAGGCGGGATCACCTCTCATCTCGACCAATCACGTGAATGAATGCAAGCGGAGTGTGTGGGGCGCGAGAGCATGTCAGGGGAGGCGCGCGGAGTAGTAGAATAATAATTAATGATTGATTACTAATTTGAATCAGTACTTTAGAACGAAAATAATATCTTAAAACTAAAAGAAGCAGGCTTTTGCGATCACATCATTTTAAACCGGTAAACTCCTGCAAAGTCCAAGGATCCAGTAAACGAACTCAAATAGTAAGTTCAAAACAGCATAATAATTTTCATATAAATTATAATAAATGATTTGCGCCTCAGAGCGAGCAGACGAAACGCAATGAATGCGGTCATTGCTTTCGGAGGTGGATGCTGCTGTTTGGGAACGCAGTCGTGTAAGACATTTCAGGGAGGCAATTATTCAGAAATACTTTGATGGCAGACTTTGCTCGGGCATTTCCGAATGACCAAAACCACATTTCAGAAGCTGTGAATGAGATCTGTCCGCTGGTTAGTCAGGTTATGCCGTCCCATAGCGCAAAGTCACATGACTTGTTTTGATGCGCTTGGAGGAATTTATTCGCAAAATGCATTTCCATCTCCCATTATTCGCATTAACCCTTTTCCGCGCAAGTCAAAATCCACCTCCAGCGAGCGTAAAAACTTTGTTTTATTCGAAATTCAGCGTTTCCATCTCTCGATTCTGATGCGATACTTCAAAATGCGCATAAAAGCATTTAAGCCTAAAACCAGCTCCAACAAAAAGCCCTAGAGATAACGGTCTAGATTTAAACTAGGACACATTGTGCTCCTGTTCGAGTTTAAATAGCTTTTCATATATTGACATCTATGGCTGGTAAGATACATTCAAATACAAAAGTCTGTATTTTCCTGAAAGCTATTATATCATAAACACAACCAAACAAGCAATACATTGCCGTTTATCGCACTACAGATTCGAACATGCATAAATGTTTTGTTTGTGCCGCTGATGTGGAGCAGCTAGCTGCGCTCTAACGAGGATTAGATTAGGCTTTTAAATCCATTAGATCTCAGTGTAAGTACGGCAAACCCCTCACCTCCAGGCAAAGGCCTGCCGTCTATCCCATTCAGCCCTGTCTGTTCCTTGATTTCTGCTTAATATCAGAATATGAGCATCATGTTGATGTTAGCCGTCCAGCTAAAAGCTAAAGAAGCGAGTGCGTGACATAAAAATCCTGCGACAGACACACGACGCGACGGCGCGTCACTCGCGCTTCATGAATGATGGTTTTATTTGATGGAAAAAAGCATTTTATGCAAAGAAATTAAACAATAATAAATAAAAAAAACGTGACATAAAATTAACATTTCGTATATAATTTTTTTATAGTTAAATAACGTGTCTGATTCTCAATAGCCCTTTTACTTTTCAGCAAAATTATCTCTCATAATGTAAGAGATTAAGATTATAATTTGGAATATCCAGACATTGTAAAATGCTATAATCAGACATTATACAGTCTGTTAATTGTTTCATACCAATCCCTGCCTAACTGTGATCTTTCACTGTCAGGCGTTAATCTCCATATAATCACATATTCTGTCAGACCATTTGAGTAATCATGTCAAGAATTTATTGTTCATAGTATCAACTCATAAATTAACCATTTGACATTTCATTTTTAAGGTAATACAGGTTGTTACGTTTCAAAGACTAACAATCATTAAATCATAAACGCTCACAAGTGAACTAATAACATTTATTTGAATGGATTTAGATGCCATTTACTTCATTAACAAACAATGTCACAATGCCACTGATGAATTTAATGTAGCCTGCCTGAAAAGAGACACATGATCCTCCAGAAATCATTCTAATATGCTGATTTGCTGCTCAATTATTATTTGAACTTACTTGTTCTTATTATTGATATATTCTAATTGTTCTTTGTATTGATATAAAGTTTTTATAGAGTTAAGTTTCTGCTGCTTAATACTTTTGTGGAAATCATAACATATTTGCTTCAGTATTCTTTGATGAAAAGAACATTCAAAATAACTTGAAATACAACAATAATCTTTTGTAACATTATAAATGTTTTTCTGTCACTTTTGATCAATTTCATGCATCCTTTCAGAATAAAAGTTTTAATTGATTATATATATATATATATTACTGTTAACTGTTGAATTGTAATGTGTCACAGTTTCCACAAAAATTATAAGTGAACTACTATAATTTATTTAATGGATTTATATGCCACTTACTTCATTAACAAACAATGCCACACATGTAATCTATTGATTAAATCAAATTGTTATAAATAAATATAAGAACAAATAATTAAATACAAATCTCCATGAATTCACGGGATAATTAACACCTTTACTAATAATGATGAAATTATGATAATTTACATTTTCTTTCCTTGACAAACCCATTCATAATACACTCACAAGAAGGCACTGTATTGATTTGTAACTAGAAAACCTTCAAAAAAAATTAATTGTTAAAGTTAAAAAACCATATTCAAAGACATGCAGAAAAAAATCAGCAGGATAGATTTATACATTAAGATTTAAAACTCAAAGGTTTTAATTCAGAAGTACAGTTCATACAGCTGTGGATTCCCCAATCCTTGTCTGAACGTACCTGAAAAGTGACATTTATATTGTCAATCCTACATCAAAATTTCTGGCCTTTCCAAATAGTATCTTAAAATTGATGAGAACTCACTTTAAAGTAAAGGACACTTTGTGTTTGGTTAATGACTCTGAACCCGGGTGAATTTGATGCAGCGCCCCTGAAAGACAAAAACCCAAAAAAGCAGGATGTTACTCTACATTACAGATCCATAATGGAGGACCGACTATCCCACCACCACCTCTTACAATCACACTCATCTCAATGATCTCTTTACCCCATTATCTCTTATGAATTGTGAAATATGACAAATCAAATCCCCTCATGTTACTAGCTATGCCCTCATTTTGAGACTGCGGTGAAAGATCTTTCTTCCACTATTCACTGACTAGTCCATATCACATTAACTCAAAACTCATGCTAAATCATCCACACTGGATTTTTTTAATGCTACTCATATGGTAAAAAAATGTATTGTTTTGACAATATTTTGTCACGCTGATAATTTGGAGTAATTGAGTTCAATTGAGAGGAGGTTTAATTTTAATTGGTGGTAAGGAAGCAGGAATGATGGAGGTCAGGCAGGTTGATCAAGCAACACTAATGCTTGACAAACCCTGTTTGGACAGATCTGGTACCATGAATGTAGAACAGGTACCAGTATTAATAATTAAGCTCTATTTACAGCCAGTGTGAATCTTTGGCATGAAAAAACATGCTCAACAATATTTTATACAAAATATTTTTCACATTTTCTGAAGAAAATGAGTGGAGCTCGTCTATGAAAATCCTGCCACTGCGTTGCAATGGCATTGCTATAATAATAATTTAGGAAACAAGTAATAATATAAGAAAAAATGTAAAAAAAAATAAATAATAATATACTAATATAACATTACATAATATTACATAACCCTGTAATTATTATTATTTGATTTTTCTTTACATCTATTTCTTGTCTTTTAAGAAAAAAATAAGAATTTTAGTAAAAGAATTAATGAACTATTTGTGCAAAGATCTACTACAGCCCATAGTCAAACATTTCAACAATATTCTCATTGTGCCTCGAAGGACGTTCAGTTAAACTCAAACTAAGTGTGACGGTGCAATCAGTGAGAGGTCAGAGGTCACTCTCGACACTGCTGACATCATGACAACTTGAACTCTGACAGTCAGGTCAACCTAATGAGTGTAATAGTGACGACTCCTCTCTGATGAGTGTGTGTTTGAGGGTCAGTTCATGACCAGTCGGAGCACCGCACACAGATGTACCACCATAATGAGATGTATGACGAGAGTGTGATCTGGTCTGTCTGTGACAGGGCTGTCAGCCTCGTTTGTGCAGCTGATTAGTGCTAATGAGCCTTTTCAGCGGACCAAACGAGGGACTGAACTAAGTTGTTGTATGAGCAACACAATGGCTCTGTTCTACAGCCTAGTAAGATTTCTACATAAGCATCATAGGCTTATTAGTGCTAATGAGCCTTTTCAGCGGACCAAACGAGGGACTGAACTAAGTTGTTGTATGAGCAACACAATGGTTCTGTTCTACAGCCTAGTAAGATTTCTACATAAGCATCATAGGCTCCTGACCAGATCAGCAGCAACATTATGCTACCATCTAAGGCTACGTTTACATTAATCCGGAGAGATTTTAAAACACATCTAGTTCTCTATGTTTTGGCTTTCCACCACAGAGATGCCGTTTTTGTCCTGCGGAAACAGAACTTTTTGAAGACGCTCCAAAACACCTTTGCATTGTAGTGTGGACTATGAAAATGAAAGGTATTTGAAAACCATGACGCACTTTTAATCGTGATGCATATTGTACCTATAGATTTCTATGGTTATACGGGCATTTGCCAGCTATGTGCTGTTCACTTTCACAGTGTTGCTAAAGATAAATGTTACTTTGTAAAATCTTTATATTACATTCCTGCAAATATGACAGAAAATGTACTCGCAATTGCCGTCCTGTGGCAAAACATGGCAGTTGCATTTAGACCAAACATATAATGGTGATTGAGTGCAACCTGGACGCAGCAGTAAGTGGTGATTTTGGATATTTTGCTAATAAAATGATTGTGCCAGAAGAATGCCATGAAATCTTTATTATGCCTGATCTGTCAGTATCATCTCAGTGCGCTTTTATTACATTTTATGCACAAACAATAAGATGATTTAAGCATTTTCTAACATTTAAGTGTGGGGACGAGAAACTTTCGGAAAATGCTTTAAAATACTGGTATAGACGGACAGCGTTTTTTAAATGAAAACACCTTCTGAATCCGAATTAATGTAGACTTGTCTAAGATACTGTACCTCCTTTTGCCAAATTGCAGACTGCTTTACAAAAAGAGCAATCCCTTAATGCACTGTGAAAAAAATCAATCTGAGAGAAATTACCATTAAAAATATACATATAAATATAAATACTAAGTATAAATGCAAAGTATCAACAAAAAAAATGTAAATATATACAATTTCACTTAAAATTTCTGTTAAGTATTTTTATGCTTGTTATAGTCTCACGCTATTAGCTTAGTAACATACACCAAATTTAATTAAAAGCAGTAGAGAACTAAGTGTACAGTGATGTCTTTGTAGGTGGAGTGCTATTTATATGACACAAATTTGTTGTTCCCTGTGTATAGCGTTCCATGTATGTCTTCACAACTCATCAATTTACTGTTTTCTTTACCTGAATGAATCTAAAAAACATGAAAAAATTAATTTCTTTATTGATACAAAACAAAAGCTCCTTTCTTGTTGTTTATAATAATATACAGATTGCATAAACCAAGGCCACCGTACCTTGTCATTTGCTGTGGGTCTCATGATAGCAACTCTGTCGTATTGTCTACGCAGCAATGCTAACACAGCATCAAAACGCCCCTAAAAACATTCACATTACAGAAAAATACACAGAAGCACAACAGTATTTTTAAAAATACATACGTTAGCACAGTCCAGCAATAAAAAGCCAAAGTGTTGACAGGAAACTTACTTTAATGGGCGTGTACCATTTGTCTGGGACTGGGGCCTGATATGTTGGTGGTGGTCTGGGTGGGGGTCTTTTTACCGGCTCTTCAAACTCCTCCTCTGGCATTGTGACCACAGCATTTTTAGCTTTCGCTAACCGCGCCCCTTCCTCTGTAGAGCCCTTCTCACCCCAGCGAACCTGTGGATGCTGTGAGCTTCAGCGTATATCCATAAAACTTTTGTTCTATGTTCTTTTGGATGGCGTTGGATTATCGCGTTACCTCCATCGGGGTGATGCCACCAGGCCCTCTGGCACCGTAATAAGACGCATCCACTGTAGGCCATTTCTTCTTCGGCAGAGGGTCCTCCTCAGGTTCCTATAAGATATGTACCAAGCATTTTAAGAAATGGGCAGTTCTGCAAATTAACATTTCTTTCAAGCCCTGATGTAGTGTACTTACAGGTATTGGGCATGGAGGCGGAGGGCGAGATGGAGGTGGATCCCTGATTACCTGTCATAGGAGGAGAAAAACAGCACTTATAAATAGTAATATCTCACTAATATACACATTTGTGGAAAATAACATAAGATGTGTATCTGTAGCACTCACCACAGTGCAGCAGAGAGGCCAGAACCACCAGAGCACAATTAGACCCAATAACACCAGCAGCATCAGGATGACAATCACTATCACTATCCCATCAGACTATAAGAAATTTAAAAAATATGTTTGATTTATAATCATAAAAGTTGTGTACAATTTTATTCAGAAAGGATGCATTGATTTGATCAAAAGTGACAGTAAATATATTTAAAATCTTACAAAAGCTTTCTATTTCAGTTAAATTCATCAAAGAATCCTGGAAAAACAAAAATGACGCAATTGTTTTCAACATAATAATCAATCAGAAATGCTTCTTGAGCAGCAAATCAGCATATTAGAATGGTTTCTGAAGGATCATGTGACACTGAGGACTGGAGTAATGATGCTGAAAATTCAGCTTTGCATCACAGAAATACATTACATTTTAAAATATATTCAAATAGAAAACAGCTCTTTTAAATTGTAATAATATATCACACTATTACCATTTTTGCTATGTTTTGGATCAAATAAATGCAGCCTTGGTGAGCAGAAAAGCCTTCGTTTCAAAACATTATTATATATAATTGAAATATATCTGAAATATATTTAAAAATAAATATTACATGGGGAAAATTTAAAAGAAAATCAGAAATTTAAATACTAAAATTACTTAAAGGAACACGCCACTATTTTTGAAAATAGGCAAATTTTCCAACTTCCCTAGAGTTAAACAGTTGAGTTTTACCGTTTTCAAATCCATTCAGCCGATCTCCGGGTCTGGCGGTAGCACTTTTAGCTTAGCTTAGCATAGATCATTGAATCTGATTAGACCGCAATGATATTATGCAGCACCTGAAAATAGTCCCAGCTAGGTAACTTCCAATAAGCCTATTTTCAGCGCTGCGTAATATCATTGTGTCTGCTGCACCCATGGTACGGCAGCAAAGTTCCTTGATTATTACACCGGAATGAGAGTATAGTTCCTAGCCATATCGGCCTAGAAAATCGCAACTTTTCATTTTCCGTCGGTCTTAGTACACGATGTAACTACAGAAGAGTCAAGTTTTAAATAGGAAAAATATAGAAACTCTTTGGTCATTTGTGAACGAGATAAAATAGTGGAGTGTTCCTTTAAACTGAAATAAAAAATCTAAATCTAATAAAAATAAAAGCGCATAAAATAATTAAAACGTAAAAAAATAAATGTTTACTCAAATATTACAAAAATACAATAATAGTATATATATATATATATATATATATTATTGTGATATTTACTGACCTTCTTAGTAAACTTATGTATTATTAAAGTTGGTTTGTTAAGAAATGTATTGTGTACTTACACATGTGGTGGCATATATTGTGATTGGACTTGAAATGAAAGACTGGCCATTATTCAGACTAATGAGCACATCGAGGGAGCTGTTGAGAGAGGGAAAGTCCGCTATTATATGATTAAATGCCAAAGACGGAGCATAGTTCATAAGACCAACAGCGCTGTGCTAAAGTATTCTTTTTAAAACAACAAGATGAATGTCTCTTGAAAAGTTTCTTCCATCTGTTTCAAACTTGGCCATGATGAAAAGCAACCATTGAGTCATTTTGCATGTCTCTTTAAGGCAGTGCCCTACGGCAAACAAAAATGTGCTGCCATCACACACGCTGCTTTGTTTCAGCCCTGCACTGAGCCTGCTCCTTATCAGTTGTCTATTAGCTAAGCTATAAACAGAAACTGAGATAAAAACACCCAGGAAAAAATGATGAACTCGTTCCCTTTGCATGTCGGCTTGTAACAGCTGTGGCTCTGAATGGAGAGCCACTGTTCTCCAACTGAAGCTGGTCCAATGCCACTTACTGTCCAACCTCGGTCAGCACTGGAGCTGGACACAGCACGTAATTATCCTTCACTGCACTCGGCTTCTCATCTAGAAGGAAGAGAGAGCAGCATGAGACTGCCGTAAAATGCCAAACACAGGCTGAAACACAGAGGCATTATTTAAGGATGTGGCTGCATGAAACTTCCCCATCGGCTAAAAAAAAAAAGAGCAAGAGCCTCGAGGCCACGCAGAACTTAGGATCTCTCTTGCTAACAAAAAATAATAACATTGTGGCTTACTGTGGCACTTATTCATTTGCTAAATGGGGAGGTGAATTATATGGCTTGTTTTGTAAGGCGTATCTTTGTGGATATGTTTTATAATAGAAGGAATGCATTGAATGGCTTACTGTAAGGATCCTGTTGATTGACAGATAATGTGCAGACCACACCATCTGAGGTTCTTCCCTGCGTGAATCCCCTTCCTCGCAAAACAATGTTGAATGTTTCTAAAACACAGTGTTTACACTTAAATTAGTCATGATCATTAGTTCAAATGGATAAAATTGGGTTTACATGGACCTTTTAGGCTGCATTTACACTGCAGGTCTTGATGCCCAATTCTGATTGGTTGACTCTATCCAATTTTTTGGACAATCAGCTTACATCTTTTAAAAGTGACCCATATCCAATATCTGCATTTATGCTATACGCTTGGTGAAACAACCCACGTTAGACGTTGACCTAGAAACAGGGTTGCCAGGTCTACGAAACAAAACCAGCCAATTGCTTATCAAAACTAGCCCAAAACTAACCCAGTCAGTTTTTCTGTGGTTTTCCCCTCCCTGTGGGGGTCCTCTCCCTCAAAATCGCATTTTGGGGGGAGGAGAAGATTGCTTTAACATGCAAACTAAAAAACAACCCACGGCAACAGCGTAACACTGTATCTACACTGGACAGACAGTTGTCGTGTCGCGCTGCAACTGCTACATTGACACGGGGCGTCGATGCTTGACGGAAAGCGTTTTTGAAGCTTGGTGCTGACGTGACCGTCATAGTGAGAACAGCCAATCACATTACTTTTCTGGTGTTGCATGAACGTGATTGGCTAGTGTCTGCGCTAGGGTATTTGCATAAGGTGATCTGATTGGCTGATGCCTACATTGGCGCTTGAAAAGTTGAAAGTTTTTCAACTTCTGCCACGAGCAACACCAGAAGCGCAACGCAATGGGTCCACAATTCAGTTCGGCAACGCATGACGTCACCCATTCAAAGTAAATGAGAAGCGTTAACGCCGACGCCTCATGTGAATGCACCGTAAAGGCAATCTACACTGGACGCGGCAAAGTGACCATTAAAAATCATTTGTACTTTGTGTCAGTACGTCATAAATAGAAAGAGGCATCAATTTACTGTCTGTGATTTGTCGTGCACCTCGCGTCCGGTGTAGACACTGTGTATAAGCAGCCCATTTCCGCAAGAAAACCGCAGACTTGGCAACACTGCCCAGAAAAGGGTAGAGTTTTGAATAGCAATTGGGATTTGTTTCGGAGACCTGGCAACCCTGGAATATCCGATCTGTTCGCTTACATGGCATATGCAAATGGACATATCTGATTTATATCAGATTTATTTCAACGAATATCGGAATCCATGTGCTTTTTTCCTGCTTACACGTTCGTGGGTCATATCCGATATGTGCCACATGCAGGGAGGAAAACCATGTAATTTAAATGCGGCCTTAGACGTACCATTGACGCAAATGCTGGAGGGCTCAAGGTTAAAAATCTCTACACAGGACTTCTTTAAAATCTGTAAACACAAATGCAAGTCAATTACAAGGCAGCATACAAACCGCATGCAAGCATAGCAATCTTTGTTTGTGCTAAGCCTCACCGAATTTACAATGGTTTTGAGGGCCTGGAATCCATCCACAACAGGAAACACTTGATCTTTGCTGTCTGCAATATCTATAAGCTATGGAAACATATTAAATCTGGCATATCATGTCAGAATTTTTTTCTCTTCAGAATCTCACATCGCTGAAGCTGCCAATTTCTGAAGCAATCTTGCTACCTTTTCCCAAGCCAGAATCAATCTCTTTCTAATGTAAAATGGGCCGGATATGTTCTCTGCAGAATGCAATTACTCTCATTATCCTGCCCGGACAAGCACATCCACTAACGTCAATATAAAGGATCCCTCTGTTACACTAATGCTGTTACTAATGCACATGAAAAAAACAATATCGTCATGACAACAACATTCCCGTGACAGTGATACACTAATGAACTACAATAGATTCAGACAAAGCAATGTTAGAAAATATATTTTTCACATTTTCTGAAGAAATTTTGTTTTGCTCGCCAGTGTGAAATGCACCAATGATGCTAAGATGGTGTGGGTGGCTGCCAAGGTGTTGCTCTGGGGTTCAGAGTGAATTTTAGCACGTTGATATGCAGTTGCTAGGGTGTTCAAGGTGGTTGCCAGGATGTTATGTGGTTGCCAAGTGTTTATAAGGATATTTTTGTATGGTTTCTAGCTGATTGCTTAATGATCCAAGTCAAAAGAGTCCACATCCAAGTTTATATATTGTAGTCTCTAGATATATTTTACAATATAAGTCTACTATGGGATTTTCCATCCATTTTATTATCCAATAGATGAAAATTGTATGTCTTTAATATTTAGGCTACAGCAGGTTCCATCTCCCTGCTGAAAAGTCTTACCTGGTTTGCATCAAAGTCCTTCACACCAACACAATATACTCGTGCACCGTACTGCCTAGCCTGATCAGCCTGAGAAAGCGAATGGGGAATTCATTAAATACTTTATTAAAAATTAATATGCATAATATTAAAAACAATAATAAACCCAGAACATGTTAAAACTGTAAGGTGGAAGTTATTAAGTACCTCAACATACAGTTTTTTTTTCATCTCAGTTCAAATATGTAATTGTTTCCATGTAATAAATACTGCCATTGGTTATGCAGTAATAAAGGAGACATATTATGCCCCTTTTTACAATATGTAATATAAGTCTCTGGTGTCCCCAGAATGTGTTGTGAGTACTCATTCACACAGAAGTTGACTTTAAAAACACACATGAGTTACAAAAACAGTCGGTTATGTCTGTGAAGGTAAACTGCTACGAAATAAATCGCATGTTTATTTTAGATCTAAATAGTGTTCTGTGCTCGTCTGTGCAGAGAAAGTCAGAACAGTTAGCATGTTTTGCTCAAACTTTCGCCATGGCATTAGAACTGGTACACCGTTGTGAAATCTAAATGACAGCGCGTGGGTGTAAACTTACAGATTAAGGGGCGGTAATATTATAATGAGATCCCTTTGTGCTTTACCTCTTTCACAGCAAGGTCATGTAGATAAACCTCCAGCTTCCCATCAGTCAGTGCAATAATGATGCTGGATGCTCTTGCGCCCTGGGTAGTCATTTTTTTTAATACCTAAAATGTTTTTATTTGTTATGATCTCTGAAATACATAGGAGAAAAAAATATGCAATACATGCTTTTGGTGATAATATATCATCCACTTACCTTTCTTAACCCCTCATGCATGTAGGTATCACCAGCAGGTCTGATCTTGCTCAAACTCTGCAGACCACTATCAATAGCTGCCCTAAACACCCAGGCAAACACACCAGCTTTATACTTTTTTGTTTGTGTTACAGTAGGATTTATACTAAAAATACTACAGTGCAACTCAAAATAGACTGAATGAAATCTCACCTGTCTCCAGTGAGAGGCAAGACTACTTCTGCACTAGAGGAAAAGACTATGAAGGACACTCTCATTTTCGGGCTAAAGGAAGTAGAAATAATCAGTTATGAATTGTAAAATCAAATTTACTCTCTGGGTGGGTAACAGAAATGATAGGTTTTCTGAAAGAGTCTGATATATAACTTTATAGCAGTGCAGTGGTTGGTGTAAATTACAACCGTGACACTATTTGAGGTTGACCATTGTGCCCTAACTTGCATTAACTAGGTCACCATACCACACACTAATCCAAACATACATTTGACACAGACTGAAGTTAAACATAGTAATCTAAAATTACGTTTATATTTAGTTCCACACATGTGCAAGAGCTTGAGACTCACACAAGTGGTCAGACAAGACTTCGAGTGTGGGAGTGCTGAAACTCTATAACCCCTTCAATAGCTTTTGTTATTTGTTAGTTGGTTATAAAAAACTTGTAGTTTCTTACCTTACAAAACGATTAGTAAGTTGTTCCACAAATCCATAGATCTCCATCCAGTTGTCAGAAACACTGCCTGACCTAGAATGATGGTGAACATTTGCTGCTTTACAAGATAAACAGGGCCATATAAGGGCTCCTGAGAGCTATGTAGAAAAAAAAACTGTAGACTACCTAAAAATACCAGAACTAATAATGAGCTCACTGGAGTTATTATTTTTATTGATAATATTTCAGATAAGTACGCGCCGAAAGAAAGTGAGAGAGAGGTGTGTGCGCATGTGTTTGCACGTTTCATAAACATACATCAGCCTATAGACATACAGAGCCAATGAAACGCTGTTAAACTAAACTCACCGATCCAACACAAAATACAAATCAAAGGCTCCATGGCAGGACCCATCTTCTCCTTTCCCAAAGGAAGTCAGGAGAGAGATGCAGAAAAGTTGGAGGACCCAAGTCGCTTTAAAGGCATGATCGCTGTCTCCTTTCATTCCTGTCAAGTGATGCACGTTGTTTGTATGGGAACACGTCGAATCCAGTGATAGAAACGCAGTTGACGCGCGTGGACGGAGCGCACCACCGAGCAATAAACAGCCTTTAAAAGCCACTCCTGCTGCGGTCTCCGGGAACTGTCATTCGCTTTCTCCCGTTTTCAAAAATCCATGTCCAGATTAATTTAATTCCGTAAAGTTTTCTTTTTTATTCAAAGCGGGTCCGGTTTACGCATTCCGTGCGCATGCGCTTAATGTGTAGTTGCGCTCCTGTAGCTACATAAAAAGAGTAGGGACAACAATAGCAAAAGGATGCTGGCCATATGGGTCATTCCTACAATTAGATCCTTGAATAATATTTAAATTGTACTTTTGACATAATTTTAGATAACTGTTATTATATTAATGTAGAATTATAATACATATATTTTTTTATTTATTTTTAATTTTTAAAGTATATTAAAATGTTGTGACATGACTAGACTAAAATCGCTATAAATGTAAGTCTGGATATCCTGTACACATTCTAGGCTTTTCAGAGATACCAAATGTTTGGAGGTTTCATCAGGACAACTCCCTCTCCTTGGTCTTTAAAAATTGCATACATTCACTTTATGACTAAATTCAGCACTCTTGTGGAAATAGTATAATATTTTGTAATTCTCATTTAAATCGGACTCATTTTCAAATTGTTTAACATAAATGAATATCTCAGGACAACTTTAGTGGGGTTTCAAAGCAGAATATGACTTTCTGTTGTGAGACATGCATCAATACATGTGGACACCAGGACATACTATGCTTATCATGCATTTTAGGTAGACATAATAAGTGGATAGGGAAAGAAATTATATCAATTCTATGAAATATGAGATTTTATATGAAAATGTTGCTACGGTATTCCTCTCATTATTATCCTTTTTTTAAATTACATGTTGCCCAAAGAACACATTAATATGCAAATTAGAGACAATTAATAGATATATTGATTATAATAGCAAAAGACATTTTTGGCCATGTTTGCGCACATATTGTGTAAAGTAAAACAGTATATCAAATCATTCTTTAATATCGTTCATACCATGGTTGAGAAAGTTTGAACAAATCTTTGTGCAAAGTTTGGTTCACATGGAAGATTTCTGGACCTGAAAACTGATTTCCATTAAACGCCTATTAAATGCAGGCACTAGTATGCATACAAAATGCAAAATAAAAATGTTCTCTAAATATCTTTTTCCAACATTGTTCTCATGTCCGTTTCACAGAGGACAAATTATAGAGAAAAATAATTTCTGGAACCTAAAAATTGACTGGCACACTGAATATACAAATTTAATATTTAAAAACATTGTTTTGGTAATAGAGTCTTGTTTTCATTTTCTTATTAACTTAGTCCCTGGTGTCCTCTCTCTCTCTCTCTCTCTCTCTCTCTCTCTCTCTCTATATATATATAGTGCCCTCCATAAGTATTGGGACAGTAAAGACAAATTTGCTTTGTTTAAGTATATGTCACATTTAGCTGTTTCAACACATGCATGTCTTACCAAATAAAAAGGAAAGAACTTTTAGAGTTTCATCCTCTATCTGATGTGAGCATAAGTATTGGAACAATTGAACTTAAAGCAAAATATAAAAAGTTTAAAAGCTTAAATTTAGTTGCAGATCCCTTGCATGCCATCACAGCAGTGAGTCTGTGGCCCATAGACATCACTGGACCCTTGGTGGTACAGGTGTAAGACAGTATTTAAACACTTCACAAAGGTCAGAGGTCAGAAACTATAAATAGTACATTGGAAAATTAACCATTTGAAAATAGGTTTTTAAATAATGTAAATATGTTTTTCAGATGATTTAATCAGACATGTTATGCCAACAATGATTTTGGCACTGTTATGAAACATGTTTAATGTGCTTGTCTGCAACATGGAAAGTCAACATTGCAGTAAATCAAATTGATACCTTATATATATATATATATATATATATATGGTAGATTGGTAGATTGTAGATTGTAATTGACTTTTTAGGAAGCCCACAGACTAGAACAATTAGTTGAAATTTAATAACCAGGTGCCTGATGTATAAACGTTGCACACGCACAAAATGGGCATGGAAATGTGTGTATGCACACATTTAGGATGAAATCTACTTAAAGTTTTAAACATGAGGCCCCAGGGGATTTGAAAGGCAGCGCATTGCAGAAAACACCTTTTCATTCATAATCAAAAGTCACTGCATAGATAGATAGATAGATAGATAGATAGGCCTGTATGTGAAGGCTCATATAGCCTGCAGTCATAACACTGGTCAGTGATGATTCTCGCCTGAGCGCACTGCTGTTAATATAAAAGTAATGCACGAAAGTTCACACTGCACGATTCATATTAGGGATAAGAGCACAGAGGGAGCAGGACGGGTCAGGAGGTTTGGGGGAGGAGTCTCGTCATTGTTTCCCGCAGATAAATGATTGCGTTCGTAATTTAGAAATCATCGCTCAGAGCATCCAACTCACTCCAAGACACCGACTCAACGGAGAGGATCTTATAGCCTATGCTTAAGATTAAAATGGTAAGATGCGTTTATGATGATAGTTAAAACTCTATTTAAAACCACAGAAAGTGAATTTCAAAGTGTTGTCTCAGGGTCCAGAGGGAAGAGCGCGTTTTCTGCTGGACGCAGCGGCTGCGCTGAGCAGCATCAGCACCTCTCGAGCCGTGCCTGCAGGAGCTGTGCTCGGTCCATGCGCTCTAACACACACCTCCCTCTGTGACAGCATCGCTTTCATCGCCTGCAAGTGCTCGGACAGACGAGAGACCGCCTAATATGCTGCAGGTAATGTGCGCGCTATAATGACTTATAGACCGGGGCTATGGCGTTATTTTACTGACAAATGTCGAGAGCGCATTATTGTAGCGCGAAAGCACATTAATA